CACGCACACACACACAGGCACAGACCTACACATACACACAAAGAGACAGACACGGGACACACAAACAGGCACCTAGACAGGCATCAGGATACACACACACACACGCGCACTCACAGCGAAGTCATCGTTGTCGTGGCCACCTCAGCAATCCGACGGGGGGGTGAAGTTTGTGCCATATACTTGGCGGACATGCATTTAATGTAGTACAGGCTACAGAAGTATGCTGAGACAGCTCTGGTTCCCATACAAGTAGCAAGGTTGAAAATCAAATAGTTAAGCTGCTGACAAAGGTGTTGAGTCAAGCAAAGAACCGACTTGGCCCCCGCCAGGGTGGGGGAACCATCCTATCCCTTCAAAGTATTATAGGAGCGGGCCATAATTGTATACGTATTATCAAAGTCTGAAGCTAAGGCCTAAGGCTATTAATCTAAATATTGTAAAGATCTAAGATGACGACTCGACGATATGCACCTCATCACAATACGTGACCAAGTGTGTAATGTCATGGCGAGCCTAACTAAAACTTTTTTTTCAGTCCCGAGATTGTCCTGCAAAACGAGAAGTCTGCTCCGCACCCAGGATTGCTAAGTAATTCTGGATCGCATCCAGGAAGGCGCTGCCACCACGTTGCGGTCCAGCTGGAAGTAGTGGCTCGAGCGTTGCCGGATCGCATTTGCACACAGACACTTTTACACACAGGAGCTTTTACACAAAAACTTTCACACGCAGAGACTTTTACACACAGACGCTTTTACACACAGACACTTTTACACACAGACACTTTTACACACAGAAGCTTTTACATACTTCGCCGGATAACATGGAAATCGCAATTTTACCTCAGTTTTTGGCGATCGAACTCATTTCGTGCGAAAGGGTTGCGCGGGAAAAGTTGAAACCGCAATTTTACCGCAGTTTTTGTCGATCGAACCTCATTTCGTGCGAAAAGGTTGCGATTGGACAACAGGAATCGCAATTTTACCACAGGTTTTGGCGATCGAACCTCATTTCGTGCGAAAGGGTTGCGCCGGACAAGTTGAAATCGCAATTTTACTTCAGTTTTTGGCGATCGAACTTCATTTCGTGCGAAAGGGTTGCGCCGGACAAGTTGAAATCGCAATTTTACCCCAGTTTTTGGCGATCGAACTTCATTTCGTGCGAAAGGGTTGCGCCGGACAAGTTGAAATCGCAATTTTACCTCATTTTTTTGACGATCGAACCTCATTTCGTGCGAAAGGGTTGCGCCGGACAAGTTGAAATCGCAATTTTACACCAGTTTTTGGCGATCGAACTTCATTTCGTGCCAAAGGGTTGCGCGGGACGACTTGAAATCGCAATTTTACTTTTACTTCAGTTTTTGGCGATCGAACCTCATTTCGTGCGAAAGGGTTGCGTTTCGTGCCGTCTCGTTGGCACTGCCCCTGCCCCCCCGCCTTCAAAAGAGAAATAGAAAAGAAGGAGAGGGCAAGAGGACAAGAGGAGAAGATGTGAAGATGTGAAGATGAGCAGATGTGAAGATGAGCAGATGTGAAGATGAGAAGATGCGAAGATGAGCAGCTGTGAAGATGTGAGGATGTGAAGATGAGAGAATGTGAAGATGAGAAGATGTGAAGATGAGCAGCTGTGAAGATGTGAGGTTGTGAAGATGAGAGGATGTGAAGATGAGAAGATGTGAGGATGAGAAGATGTGAAGATGAGAAGATGAGCAGCTGTGAAGATGTGATTATGTGAAGATGGGAAGATGTGAGGATGTGAAGAGGGGAAGATGTGATAATGAGAAGATGTGAAGATGAGCAGATGTGAAGATGAGCAGATGTGAAGATGAGCAGATGTGAAGATGAGAAGATGAGAGACAGACCCCCACTATTGGAAGAACCCTGCGCTCAGACGCTCTCGGGAACTATCAAAAATGCAACTGTTCATTCTTCCACAACTAAGACCCTCGAACAAAATTCAGACAGTTTTTCCTGAATCCAACAGACGCTCCGAGCCAGTGGCCTTTTACACAAGCACTTTCACACGGAGAGACTTTTACACACAGACATTTTTACACACAGACGCTTTCACACACAGACGCTTTTACACACAGACGCTTTTACACACAGACACTTTTACACACAGACACTTTCACACACAGACGCTTTTACACAAAGACGCTTTTACACAGAGACGCTTTTACCCACTTCGCCGAGCATGCGCGGGACAAGTTGAAATCGCAATTTTACCGCAGTTTTTGACGATCGAACCTCATTTCATGCGAAAGGGTTGCGCCGGACAAGTTGAAATCGCAATTTTATCTCAGTTTTTGGCGATCGAACCTCATTTCGTGCCAAAGGGTTGCGCGGGACGACTTGAAATCGCAATTTTACCCCAGTTTTTGGCGATCGAACTTCATTTCGTGCGAAAGGGTTGCGTTTCGTGCCGTCTCGTTGGCACTGCCCCTGCCCCCCGCCTTCAAGAGAGAAATAGAAAAGAAGGAGAGGGCAAGAGGACAAGAGGAGAAGATGTGAGGATGTGAGGATATGAAGATGAGAAGATGTGAAGACGAGCAGGTGTGAAGATGAGCAGATGTGAAGATGAGCAGATGTGAAGATGAGAAGATGCGAAGATGAGCAGCTGTGAAGATGTGAGGATGTGAAGATGAGAGAATGTGAAGATGAGAAGATGTGAAGA